GGAACGACAGCAGCGGTGAGGGGACGACGGCGAGAAGGAGCAGAGTTGGGATGGAGAGGGGACCCACGACCCCAACCGGCCATGTTGCTCTTGGTGCTCAGCACGCACGGGCACCCCCCTCGCTTCATGCTGACGTTACAGCTTGCCCAGGGTGTCTGCCAAAGAAAAACAGTAATGGGAAAGAAAATAAACCTGCTCATCTACGAACCATGCGAACTCTATTTTCCCTAATGTCCCAACATGGTCCCAGAGCTTGTCTGGGAGGTGACGGAGAAGATTTCTTAAAAGTGGCGTCATGTGAATGGAAACGGAAACACAAGTAGAGGAGGAAAGGCTGAAAAGAAGAAAATTAGAGGAGGGAAAAAAAAAAGTTTATCTTTATGCGTGCACCCATGCATGTACATACATACCCAACATACTAACAAATTTACTTCAGTAATGCTGGTTTATTTCCCCCAAATCCGCTATCTTCACGTGCAATCGACCAATTATTTTGTGGTGCTTACAGATATTAATATCGCTCTTTATTTTAGATACAGCAACTAAATAACCAAAAATATACAGAAAAATGAGCCAAAAATAAGTAGAAATGACACATAGTTCCTAGCAGGCTTAGATTTCTAGCCTAATTTGCAAAGGGCCCATTAAAAATATCCCACGATATTTGCACCTGCATGTCCCAAAACCATTCTGAAAATGTAACAAGATCCTTGAGGCCCTTTTTTCTGGCCCTTATAAAAACTCCAAGTCTTCCTCAAAACATTCTGCTGATTTACAGGAAATATGGCAAAGTACGATGCACCCACATTACCGCTGTAGCTCCAAGTGTGCTTTTAAAGGCTATCTCTCCCACTTGCCCCTACTTTTGTTTTGCGCCTTGGAGCAGTCACAGTGCACGTGAAATAGATTCCTTACCAGTAAAACTAGGATTAAATAAAAGTAAAATTAAAAAAAAAAAACAAAGCCACAAACAACTAAACGATGGGTAAAAAAACCCGATGTGCACGAGGGCTAAAAAAACGATGTGCACGAAGGCTTACGAACAATGCCCGAATTGCTGATGGGCTTCCAGCCCTTGGGACCACACCAGAACCAATTCTCTGCTCAAAAGGAAGTCCACTTCAGCACGCCTCTTCTCAGGTGCTCAACCCGCACACGTCCCTGCGATGCTCAGCAATGCCGTAGCGCCAACGAAACCGCATCACAGCATAGGTAACCCGTCATACTCTTCTCCCTCGATCATCCAAAACCAAAGCCACAGGCACTGGGAGGATCCCCTTCCCGGAGGATGAGCCTGTGGTTTATAACACCACTGTTCAGTTGGAATCAGCATAGTATCGAAGTATCGCAGGTGATTTTTAATGTTGCTACAAAAAGTCCCTGAACTCCCAGAATTTATCAGGCGTAAAACATACCAGCCATAAAATAAAAGTCAACTGTCTATACAGATTCTGGCCTCAAGATCAACTCAGGAGCTAGATGTGCCACAGGTCAGGAACAGACAAGACACACATCTGTGCTTTAGACAAATTGACCCACTCGACCCATCTCGGAAAGCACACAAAAAGTCATTTGGAAACTACCTTTTTCAAAGGAAATGAGATTTCTTGTCCCAGAGCCAGCACACCAACTCTGACTTAGCTTCCACATAGCAAGAACATGTCTGAGCTACAGGAGGTGTTACA